TCACCAATCCAATCGCTAAAAATTTTTCCATCGCTAATTCCATCACTAAAAATTAGCGATAGAAATTTTTGATGAAAAAAATTCTGTCACTAACTATTTCCTAACAGATTTTTTTGATGGATTATCAACAAAATTTAGTAATGAAATAAAATTCTGTTGCTAATCCCTCATTAATATTAGGATAAAATTTCATGCTAATTCGTTGCTAAATTTTTATAAAAAATTAGTAACAGAATGATTTTTTGTCGTTAATTTTATCAGTAATAAACTGGTTTTTTTTTTTAGTACTATGCCGAAAACTATTAATTTACAAAGTCTGAAAACTTGCTATACAAGTCATGCGATTATAAAATTTGCCAACTTTATTCCAAGTCTCGACCTTTGGGAGAGTCATGCGGTGAATCAGTTCCTCGAGTCATTTCAGAGTAAAGAAAGGCTATATATAATTTTAGAACATAATAGAGGAAGGTTTTGATGCCCCAAAGATTATTTTCTTTAAGAAAGTTGTTGCCTGTTCATCACAAGAGATTGATCATACAACTTTAAACAATCACATTTAAAAATTGTTTTCCTTTCGGGCCAAACATTTGAAAGTTGTCAATAACAGAAATTTTAAATTCATTTTGAATAACTTTTTATTTTCAAATTAATAGACATTAATGTTTCTAATTTATTATAAAATTATTGTTTTAATTATACGCCAATGGAAATATCCATTAATATCAATAATACAATGTCTATTTAAAAGGTTAAAGTATGTCTTTTGTACTCTAAGTTTACATGAAACTTTAGTTTAATCTCTTAAATTTATAAATTATATAATTTTTTTAATTTTAATACCATTAGTTTCATTGAATGGAAAATGATGACTTGGTAAGTTTAAATGGTGATTTTATAATTAAATACTAATAAAACTTAGTCTAAATTTTAATTCTTTAATATAATTATTTTTAAAATTTAAACATGTTTTATTAATATTTAATTGCAGGATCATCATTTAAAATTGTTCAGCAGCATTTTCCATTAGATGAGACTAACGGTATTAAGACTAAGGCACTAAAAATATATTTTATAAATTTAAGAAATTAAATTAAAACTTGATGTGAAATTAAAATATTAAATGTATATTTTAGTCCTATTTAAAATTAGCAAACATGTTTATTTAAATTTTAACATATGGTCCTTGATATAATATTAAGTTTGTAGTTTATTACTTTATTAAGGACCAGAAAGTATTTAACTTCACAGAGATCAAAATCTCACATAGAAGTTGCCAGTTATGCAAAAATATAACATGTAATACATACATTACAATCAATACCTCCATTCGCTTTTAAATAAAAGAACTCCATAACTTCTTAAAACAGGTTAAATTTAAGTGTTTTATATTTTTCTAAAATACCCCTCCTTTTAAATATTTATATATTGAAAACTATGCCTATTGATAATATATACCACCTCTTATCTTTAATATAAGAGTTCGTTTGACTTTTATTTTGGTTCTAAATATAAGACCCAATCCACTTTGTCTATTATATTTATCTATTTTTTTCAAAGTAGTATTTGTAATAATAGTAGTTCTAGCCAATAAAATTGATTAATAAGGACATTTTAGAAAAGATAATACTCCTCCGGTCCTAATTATAAGACCCAATTGACTTATTTGAGGATATTAAGGAAGTAAGTTAAGTTGGTTATTTATAATAAATAAGTGTTGTTATTCCTAAAATATCCTTGCTAATTAAGTATATTGGCTAAAACTATCATTATTAGAAGGATTATCTTGGAAAAAAATGCATAAATATAAGAGAGAAAATGGATTGGGTCTTATAATTAGGACCAAATAAAAAGTCAAATTGGGTCTTATAATAAGGACCGGAGGAGTATATATTTATTACAAATAAATAATTTAACTAATTTTTTTAATCTAATCAAATTAGTTAACTAACTTTTATATTAAGAAATGGAAGTAGTATTAATGTATGCAGTCAATAATAGTAATTTAAAAAAAAATAAAAATCAAAGATAAAACAGGAGGGAGCGTACAAAAGGGTACAAATTTCATCCATGCCATATCAGTTAAGAATTTGTTCAAAGAAATTACAATTTCAAAGGAAATGTATATGTAACAGCTGATTTAACTGATTTGGCACATTTGGAATATTTCAAGCATTGATGTTAACTTTTTGTTATGAAGAGCATCAAACTTTTCTTACCTTGAATGGACATTTATTTTAAAAAAACGTAAATGTATGTTTATTATTTTCTTTTTTAAAAAAAATTATTCCTTTTTGACTGCTGGAATAATTTTATAAAAAGAAAAATTCAAAGAATATTTCATTCTATACAATTCGATTAAGTAACCGAAATTCCTTTCAAATTTTCAGTCCATTTGTCTAAGACTTATGGATTAAGCTATTACTTATGTGCTCGATTCTGTCTGCTAGTACAATTTACTTTTAAAAAATTTTATAAACAAAAAAGAAAGTTCTTTGAATTTTTAACCATCAATATTACTGTGAGTAATATTAATATAGAATGTGCGTGTGTTATAATAAGTGGCATTATTTGTAAGTTACATTAGTCTTTTTAAAAAAAAAAAAAAAAGAGTAGATCTATTTCTCTTTTCAAGGAAAATTTTAGTATATATTGAAAATAGAGAAAATAAATCTATACAATGTCAACAAGTTTAATGAGAAATATAGTCTTGTATAATTTATGTTTTTGTTTAAGAGAATATTGTTGTAGGATTTATCAATAATAATATAAATATTTTATAATTTTAAGAAAATTCAAAGTAGACATCAACTAATTTTAACAAAAAAAAAGGGTCTAGCTTTTTTCCAACAAAAAATAAAATACCAGCTGAAAGTAGATGCACATGATTCGTTGATATCAGAAATCATTTGGATATGAACAATAATGTCACCAACGCGTTCTCAACTTTACTTTTCCTTTTTTAAGTACGTAGATTTCAAATATTTAAGGCACTATAAATGTAAAATACTAAATTCCCAATACTTTTCAACATAATTCAAAGTGAATTAAAATGACATTTAACAACCCATATAAATTATTCATAACATTTAAGGATTTCATAAATTAGTTTTTTAAAAAGTTGAAATTATACTCTGTGTTTTTTCTTTTTCCTTGTTTTTCTTTTGACCTTGAAGTTGAAATTATACTCTCATGCTTCCAAAATTATTACAGTTACTTCGATGCTTTCTAACATTAGCCCTCATTCTTCCCCCACAAAAAAAGAAAATAAAAAAGAAATCGGAATGATTTTATTTTGGCCACATTGTAAACGATTTTTTAACTTAATTTCCGTACATCCATGCATCTCTTTCAAGGCTGTTATAGAAAAGTTTAATTGCAGATGGAGTTTTTATTATTATACTTATAGTTATAGTATAATCGCCCTTCTCTCTACCAATATATATATATATCATGGATTCACTTTTCTCAATAGACAGAAGGTTGGAATCAAATTGATCAAGATACAGAAAACGGGATGAGTTATTAAATTAGTCAAGTCTATGGTAATTCGTCAACTGAAATTAATCCAATCACAATTAAAATAATATAACTTAATTAAAATATATAAAAATATTCCTATAAAACCTTGAAAAGTGTAATATTCAAATAAAAAAGCATTAACGTAACTCACAAGTAAATGAAACACTAATATATAACACCCCCATAATTCACGCAAAACAAAGTTATTAAAACACAAATCTCATGATCTGCTATTTTTTTAAAACTTAAAATGCCACTTTTTAAGCTTAGCAAGAGGAGTTAAAAAAAAAAAAAAAACCTAACTCGATCGCGTAGTTCAAAACTCTTGATCAGGGGTGGTTAGGGAATTGGATAGGGACATAGGGTTGGCAACTTGAATGGCTTGAAATATGAGTTCCATTTTAATACCATGATAATAGTGCCATGTTGTAATTCTAAAGAGAGGGAGAATTTCAAAAAAATATTTTTAAATTTCAAAATTCTAAATCAGTCTTATTTACTACTCCCTCCGTTCCTTATTATAAGAGACATTTGATGCTTATAGCATGTTCCTATATATAAGAGACACTTACAAGTTGTCTCTACTTTTTTGTGTTGATTTACTATTTTATCCATATTTATTATTTCCAACTCACACTCTCCCTCCCTCCCACTTCTCTTTCTTTTAATAATTTAATTGTTCTCTCTCATACTCTCTCTCCTTATTAATGAGGGCATTTTTGGAAAAAAAATTATACTTTTTACACATTAATTGTTTTTAACTAATTTTAACTATTTTTTTTATCAACGTACTTCGATTATTTGTCTCTTATAATAAGAAACGGAGGGAGTACTATTTACTACAATTTAATAACAGTTGACAACATTTAAAAAGCAAATAACAACATTTTTTTATAGTCATTTTTTATTTGAGATTTTGAAATTTTAGAGTTTTTTTTTTTTTGGATTTTCCCTTTAAAAGAGATACTCCCTCCTATCTATAAGCTTCAAATTTTAAGAGAAGTGTGGTCCGTTTTATAAGCTTTAATTTAGGTCTGTCTTAACATTTAATACATTTCTTTCAATTTTACCATTAATTATTTATTCTTTCTTATTTGTCATACTCTTCTTATCACACTTCCACACACATTCTCTTTCATCCGTTTTTTCATTTATTATAAGGACGCATTTGGAAACAAAAATATATTTTTAACCTATTTATTGTTTTTAACTAATTTTAACTAATTATTCACTACCCATGAATTATTTATTTGAAGTTTATAATAAAAACAAAGGGAGTATAATGTAATTTAAAATTTTTTTAGTGATAACTTAAACGCTTCCCCAGACTTCTAATCGTTATTAATTGTATTACTAGGGTGTTTAAATATGACTGGTGTCGTCACCTTCAATACATTGAAAGAAAGCAAAGTTTCACGCGTTATTGTGGGATCATAAAGAGCCTCTCCACCAAACTCCGCGTTACTTTTTCAGTTTTTCTCTCCCATTTATTATTACCTTTAACTTCCCTTAATTCTCCTTCACTCCTAAATCTATCGTCTTCGTCTTCTTCCTCCTCCTCTTCTTGTCTGTATCCCTTTGACCTTACCCACAACATGTTGCTCGCCATGCTCTTCCTCGCACTCTTGTTCGTCGCCGGCCTGCTCGCCACACTATTTTACCCATCTCTTGTTCACTATTTCTCCCCCAGAAAACCCATTGAAGCTAGTCCAGCTGCTTCTTCTTCTGCTTCTGAAACTCGAAAGAAGAAGAGGATGACAAGTAAAGACGATGTGAACAAGGAGGAACTCCGAAGGGTGTTCGCGACGTTCGACAAGAACGGGGATGGGTTCATAACGAGGCAAGAACTGAGAGAATCTCTGAGGAACATGAGGATTGTGATGTCGGAGAAAGAGATCAATGAAATTGTGGTGAAGTTTGATTCTAATGGAGATGGCTTGATTGATTTCGACGAGTTCTGTCTGTTGATTGAAGAGTGCATGGGAAGTGATGGTGAGGCTGATGGAGAAGATCAGAAAGAAGGAGCTGAAGAACAAGACGAAGAGAATCTGAAGGAGGCTTTTGGAGTGTTTGATAGTAACAAAGACGGCCTGATATCAGTGGAAGAACTGGCTCTGGTTCTGACATCTCTAGGGCTAAGGGAAGGGAAGAAGATGGAAGATTGCAAAGAGATGATAAAGAAGGTGGATATGGATGGAGATGGAATGGTAGATTTCCAAGAGTTCAAGACAATGATGAAATCAAGAAAGCTTGTCTTAGCTTCTTAATTAGTTACAACTTTCTGCTCTTCTTCTTCTTCTTCTGCAGATCTGGGATGATCACCAACGAAATTGTGTAAATTTATGTATGATGTTGTACGGTACATATAAGTGTTTGAATTTCCAACTTTGGATTAGATTAGATATATTGTCTTCTTTCCATTCGTCTCCTTTATTTTCTTGCTTTCAGTGTTATTCTTACGTTTCTGTTTTTCCCTTTTCTTTTGCTTTCCTTTCTTTTTTTGGGTTGGCTTGGGTAGTGTCTTGTAAGAAGATGCTTTTGTTATAGTTACTCCTCAGTGAAGGAATTAATTCAGGGGTTTAGTTTGGTTCAGTAAGATCTTAATTTATTTTACTTTATCCTAATTTTTTTTATCTGATACAATATTAAATACACACATGCACACGAACATGTCAACACAGGGCTCGGATAACATTAAGTGATATTAACTCAGATTATCATATTAAGTGATTTTTTTTTGCTTTAATTTCTTCTTCTTTTTTTTGGTTGGGTCGGATAAAATTCGTTAAGTAGATGCTTTTATAGTTTTATTGAGAAATTAAGTTAGTCAGGGGTATAATTCAGTTCTAAATGTAAAGTTTAAATTTACTTTATTTCTTAAATTTATAATTTTTTCCCACTTCTTTACTCAATAGGATAAATGTTAAAAAATGGGGAAGAGTTTAGAAGGATGGGCAGGAATTTCTTATAACTACCTTTTATTTGTTTGTTGTTGTAATGATTGCAAGTTCAACTAAGATATACTATAAGTGTATGTTTAAAGGCAAAGTTCCTCAGTTCTGTTTTAAAATTTTTAATTGAATTAAATTTGATGTCAGATTTTTATTTTTTCCACTCTTTAGTCTTTAGTCAACCCAACAGAAATTATTTAATTTTATCTACTAATTTTTGTTGTTGTTGGTGGGCCCATGTTTTACCTAGCGAATTAACTGATTTTGTTTAGGTTTGTGAATTGAAAGGGTCGAGTGAATTCTGTCTAAAAAGTGGTTGGTCAAATAATTTAGGAAAAAACATAGATCTGTACGGTTACGCGCTTTCTTTATAAATATAAATATAAATATAAAATATAAAACGCATTTTGTATTATACTACCTCCTCTTTTTAATTTAAGAGCTGGTTGATTAATTTAAATAAATTTAAAAAATTTATTAAATTAGTTATTTATAATAAATACTATGTGTTATCTTTATTAAAATATTTTTACTAATCATGTCTATTAGTTAGAACTATTTGATGAATTTTTTAATATATGAAACTACTATAAGGACTACTTTAAAAAGAATAGATAAATATAATAGATAAAATAAATTGAGTTTTATATTGAGATCCGAAACTACAAAATATGTTTTATGTTTAGGACAAGAAAAATACTTTATTTACATTTCAGGATAAATAACTAAATATGCTAATGGTATGAAAATTTTTGATCTTTCAAGAGATTACTTTCGGCCCTTAAATAAACTTAAAAATTATTCATTTAAATTAAATTAGCTCCAACAAAATTTTTATATCCTACCCTATCACACAATTTGTGAATGAAAAGGGTAATCACAACTATATTTATATAAGTATGGTTTAAATTTAAATCCCAGCCATTAATTGTAGGCCAAAAAAAAAATCCCAACCATTAATTAAGCTCCAGCTAAGCTCTTCGAAGTACTAAACAGATATCAGTATAATAAAAACTGACTGCAAAAAAGTCTAATAAAAAATTGAACTCCCCCCCGTTTTCTTCTCCAAGAAATTGGGAAGATAAACTAATAGAATATTTTATTCATGATGTGAACTTTATATTAATGTCGATTGATTGTTGTTTGTTGATAAGGAGAATGATACTTAGGTCATAAGAGAATGGCTTAATTACAGTTAGGTACTGCCAATATTTTTCAGAAAATAAATTATAAATATCAATTTAAACAAAAGGAAATTCTCAAGTCTCCATAATAAATGGGTATTTAAATTTTAAATATAAGTCTCAACTTGCTGGCAAAAAAATATAAGTCTCAATTTGAAATTGAAATTCTTTTGGCCAAAAAAATTCCAGTTTATAAATTTTTGATTAAATTAATATTTGCGTCTTATTTTTTAAAAGATTTTTGTTTCTGAAACTCTATCTATCATTAATTCAAGGGTTGAATTTCATTCAACTCTTTAACCAACTCTTTCAATCTTTAATATAAAATCTATTTAATTAATTTGATTATATTAAAAAAATTAGGTAAGTTAGTTAATTATAATAAATATAACATGTTTTTTTTCTAAAATATCCTAATAATCTTTTTCAATATATTATTTTCTTTTCTTACTTGACTATGGTTAAGATAGTATCAATAAGAGTAGTTCGAAAAAATTTTATTAATATTAAAAATAAATCTTATATTTAGAATTAAGATCAATTCCATAACTAGATCCTATTAAGATCCGGAGGAGTGTGCTTTTTTTTTTTTCTGCCTTCAACAACTTAGATTATTGCATGGTCCATTTTGCACCTTTATTAGATATATCCAACATCTAAAGTACTTTGTGATTCATATCATTTATATAAATAAGCCATAATTCTCTGGGTAACGAAAACAAAAAAAAAGCCATAACTTTTACAACCTCTGCAGTTTGGAGTTTCATAAACAATAATAGTAGTATTTGAGTCTAACTTCCCAGCAACACCGTACTGTAACGTACGGAAAAAAACAAATGTAGGATTATTATGAAGTCTTAAAAAGGAAATTTAATTCTTAAGAAGTCCCAATAACAAATGATTATCATTAATACGTTGTTATTTCATATTCTAAAATTTGTTATTGTGTGCTCTTCATTGGTTGATTAACTTTAAGATAATTAAATTCTTTTGAGGATCTAAATGTAATTCTCCCAAAAACAAAATAAGATTGATATTTCCTTTTTAGTTCATATTCATTTGTGATAGATAACCATTAAAGGCGAATCGGTGGATGAGTAGAAATTGAGCGTGTTGCTGTGGATCCCTCAATCTTACTTTCTCGTTCATCTGCCATTTTGCGCGATCAATCCCTTCTTCCTCCTCTGCTTCGCGATGCAGCTTTGTGTGGATGTGGGTTCAGAGCTCCAAATTATGTTGCTTTCATTCCGTTTCTCAGACGCTTTCAGTCCCTTCGCCGTTGGTGTGGCTGTGAGCTTGCTCTCCCGTGACCACTGAAGTCGTCTCCTTGCTCTACTGCGTTTTTGGCTGACAATTCGTTGCTGTTCGCGCGCTTCATTTTTCTTGGGCCATTCTCGTCTTTTCTAAAATGGGTAAGCTCAATTTATTTATTTATTTATTCTTCATTGTCGTTGGTGATGTAGAATACTTGAATCGTAGGAATGAGTGGAATTGGGGGTTCGAAGAAGGGAAGAAAAATTTATCTAGTTAGTGAAGAAGATGATTTAAAGCCGTGTAGAACTTGAGTAGTGTTTTTAGTTTTGTATTGAAAAGAAACTTGCTCGTTTTGAAGCTTACCTTATAGTTGGGTTAGCCAGTGCACAATAACTGCTTGTTAAAATGCCTCTAGAAGAAAATATATATGCATATGAAGTTTTCAAAATGACGAAAAATGCTGTTAAGACAATTCAACCATGAAAATGGTGCAAAAATACATATAAAGTTTCTAAAATAGTACAAAAATGCATATGGAGTTTTTAACAGTTATGGCATTTTTGCATCATTTTGAAAACTCCATGTATACCATTTTTTTAGCCTACGTGTTTGGTAAACAGTCAATGTTGACTCAATGGTCATGACATTTTTGCATTGTTTTAAAAACTTCATGTATATTTTTACATTCAAAAAATGTTTATGGTGTTAGATGCTCATACCAAAATATTTCGTAAGTAGATTTACAACTTAACCCATTAACCAAACTGTTCTTCACTATTTACATTCTTAATGAAGCCATGCGGTCGGTTCTTATTTTATGCCGCCTTCAACGTTGTTTTCAGTGTCAAGAAATCAATTCTTGTCTCAAGTTTAAATGTTCATACCAAAATCATGGAAGCCACTCACTTGCCAAGTTGATACACAAACCGTTCCTGGTGATGGATCTATGATTGGGCTCTCTTCATGCATCTCTCAGAGAGTTTGTAAGATAGAATAGTTATCAAATGCATCTGGAGTATTTTCTCAAATCCAGAGCCATGCGTCTTCTTTTGGTTCTTTTGACCTTATATTACATCCCATTAGCACTCTTCTTTTATCTTGCATCAACCTTAAATCACTGCCACAGAGTAAGCAAGTTCATGTCCAGATTATTTCACTTGGTTTTGATTAACACCCCATTATGGTTCCTAGGCTCATCACTTTTTAATGCAAGTGTCGATCTTCTCGCTGATGCTCAAGTTGCTATCGAAGCCACTAATTTTTTGGACCCTTTACCTTGGAATTTGCTCATGTCGTCCAATGTTAGAAATGGACTTTTTCCAGAGGCTACTTCTGTCAGTAAGAAAATGATGAATAAGCAGGTTAAACCAGGCAATTTCACTTATCCATCTGTTCTCAAGGCTCGTGGTGAAGCGTTGGATTGTGTTGCTGGCGTGGAGATTCACAAGTCTATTGAAACGAGCTCTCTGGTGTGGAGTTTGGTAGTGCACAATGCATTGGTCTCCATGGATGGTAGGTTTGGGAAAGTGGAGGCTGCCCGTGATTTGTTTAATCATATGCCTGCGGATAGAGATTCTGTTTCATGAAAACACTATGATAGATACTTATGCCTTTAGGAATATGTAGGAGGAAGCATTTCAGCTCTTTAAAAGCATGTGCAAGGAGGGTGTTGAATGGCTATAATCACACGGAGCACCATTGCTGGGGCGTGCTTGTGAACAACCAATTTCAGGAGTTCACTTCTTTTGATTTCTAAAACGAGAATATCTATTCATCATTTAGTGTGTGTTTGGATCCACGATTGGATCTCGAATAAGTGGCTTTTAGAGTGTTAAGCACGTTTGGGCTCTGGTTGTTGTTAAGGGCCAAAAGTTGTTTGAATTTGGCTTTTTCAGAAGCTGCTCCCTTGCTTATGCTTGTAGCTAATGGTGCTTATGATGTTGGTAGGACTGTTATAACAATTATTGGTGGCTTAGAAAATATTATTCTCTCTCCTCTTCCTCATATTTGTCTCGTGCTTCACGCACCTCCTCTGTCTTCGAGCTTGTCTTGTCGCCTTGTTAGATCAATCGCCAGTCGTGGTCGCCATTAGCGGTTCATGCTTTCCATGGCCAGCTTGTGCTCGCCGTGGGAAAGTCGAGGTCAATCTGTGCTCGCTGTTCTTCTACCCTTCTGGCTTCGTCAGCTCTGTTCTTAGCGTG